ATGTATCAACACTATCATTGAAATTGTTTTATTAACCACCGATGCAAAAACGACGGGGTGAACAGAGTGTTTGAAAGGTGAATTAGTCGGGAGTGTTTTTAGCTATGTCTGATGAAAATCGGTCCAATACGGCCGCATTCACAATATTACAATTTTTTCACAACTCCCTCAATATGGGTTTCAAATGAAAGGGCTTGACTAGTAGAATACTGTAAACTATGACAAATTTCAAATCCAAGATGGCTGCCACCACAAAATGGCGAATTACATGTCAGGGTTTTTTTTTTAATTTTTAATTTAATTTTATTATATCCCAAAGGAAGCTTTTCAGAGATAAATTCCATTTCCCTAGTTTCCGCACGCTTTAAAAACAACTTCTTTCCCGTTGGACCGGGACCTTTGGTTGTAAAACTAGTGCAACTGCAAGATACAGTCGTGAATAGAAATCGGTATGAAAATATGTTATTATAGTAATTATAGTTAGTATTTTTGTGGAGCTGCGTTGCATGATGTGAGTGACGATTGTACGTCAAAAAAAAGGTAGGTACCCCACGGGGTAAAACAGATTATCATTATACTTTTTTTAATAAAAGATTATAATATTCAAGGTTCATCTTATAAACGTTTCACGAAGACTTATATGTCTTTTTATTTGTAGGTATGTACTAGCATAAAATTAAATATGCATTTTTTGCACGTGCCATACAAACTATGAGAGGAATGTAACAGTAGTAAAGTACAAATTAATAAAATACTATTAACGTGTTTCTTATTTACATTTTTTTAATAAGAACATTTTTTAAGTCTTAGCCTTCACCAGATATAAAGGCAGTGGCGTAGCTATGCCACTGCAACATTCAAGGGGACTCCAGCAGACCAAAGACCAGACAAACGATTCTTTTATTTCAAAACATTTTTTCGAGGCTGGCCCTCGTAGAATTTAAAAAAAAAATACCGCAAAAGACCATAAAAAAAGTGTCCTTAATTTCCGCATATCATTTTTTACGAGGACCACGAGGAATATGATCATACCTATCTATGTTTATTAGGTCCTCTAAGCTCAGCTTTTTTACTAAATTTTACTCTAGCCGTTCTCCCGTCAGAGCGGTTTAAAAAAACTGAGAATTTCCAAAGCTGTCTCCATCTGTGGACCACATTCGTTTTTAAAAAGGGGGTCAACTTTCATTTTTTTTTGCATTGGAGCCCAAAGTGGCTAGTTACGCCACACTATAAAGGTGTCATACATAACCTGTGGTATTCAAAGTACTTAAACTTAAATTATCCGATACGACTCGCCCGCCATCTATTATGATGATAATTTTAACCATTATTAAAAAAACGTATTGCAACACCACAATAGCAAATACACAAAGTAATAGTATTTTTGTGTATTAGATAATAATATGTATGTAAGTTTGTATTCAGGCATGCAGGTTTCCTCACGATGTTTACCTTCACCGTTAAGACCAGTGGTAATCGTCTTGGAAATGATTCGCACATGAAAATATCTAATATTAAGATCTTTATGAATATATTTAATATTGAAATATATATTTAATTAAAAGTGAAAATTAGAAAATTATAAAATAGTAAAATATAAACAATTAGAAACATATTTGCAGCGAACATATTGCCTCAGATTATCTTGCTAACTAGAAACTTAGAGGTGAAGGTTGCATGTGAACACCTTATTTGGCAACTAGCAATAACTAACAGGGAGTCAAGTTTAACAACATACTATTATTCAAAGTAAAACGAGTTAACTATTCTTAGTTGAAGACCTTCGAATTGTGAACCAAGTTAATTTATATTTTACAGACAGCCAACAAAAAGTTGAATTACCTAGTAAAATATATCATCGTAGTAATGGGAGAGATGATGAGTAAAATATTTTACATTAAATATAATTTTGTATGTTTACGTCAGTTATTGGTTGTTAACCAGTGAACAAAGAAGGAGAATTTTGAAGATTCTTTTTTTATCTTCAATCTTTTTGTATAGGGTAGAACGCCGAAGTTGGTGGCATTTCATTGTTAAAATAAAAAAAATACCATCTCTAAGGGCAGTCGCCCAGAAAATTTATTATTTACACGTATTCAGATATAATTTATTCAATAAAAAAGATTTTACGCAAAAAAAAAACTTTTCACCAAAACGTCCCACGAAAGTGAAATGTAAAATAATCCCTTTTAATCTCGGCAACTAAGCTCCTAAAGTACCTAACGTTAGTACTTAACTAGATTTTAGTCGGCGTGTCGTTTGCCGCCGTTTTTACCGTCCGTTGAATTTTTTTGTTATAAGTTTTGCTCAGCAAGTTTATGAAGCGATCTCAGTAATCTTTAAAACAAACATAAATTACATTTAATCTCAGAGAAGGAACCTAGCTTACTCTCCTACAGGGTAGGAAATAGAAACATATAACATTAAAAATTTTTACCTTGCTCAAAGTATTAGATCGGCCTGATATACATATTTTATCAGTTCCATCAAATACAACGACATAATATGCCTCTACCGTTATCAACTCAGTAATCCAATTATTTATTTTAATTTTTAATTGGCTTTGGACACTTCGTAAACACGTTATATATGAGCTTGATATATTGTTATTTTTTGCACTAATTAAATATACGTACAACATAAGCTTAAACATTTAAAAAAAACTTTCGCAAATACGAGTAAAAAGCCAGCTCTGGTGGCTTTCATGGTGTAATATAGATAAAAGGAAATCTTAAAATATTCGAACTGGTTGCAAAAGTCGACTAGCACTTATGCAGATGAGTTACATTCATTATGAGCTTTTATTTTTATGTTGTATTTGATTTGTTTGTGGTTCCACTTGCCCAAAAAGTAGTTCCGTACGTTACTTAGAGATAATGTAGCGATCTATTCGTATAGAGATGTTTAAAATCGGTTTACTATTTTCATTAATAATCCCTAATTCCCTACATATAAACAAATTTTACATTATTATAATATTATAAACTACGGATTCAAAAAATAATTTTATACATCTATACATATAATAAAATTGTAACTAAGCCGAATCTGTACATTAAAAATCTTATTGAAATAGACATTATTATCGATACAGAGCCCGAATCTAGTTTTTAGAATTTTTGTCTGTCTGTTACCGCATCACAGAAAAACCACTGGAGGCATTTTGATGAAATTTGGTATGGTAGTAGCTGGTTATCCAGGTCAACATATAGGATACTTTTTACCGCGGGAAAATATCTCATTTCTGAGAAAAAATACAAAAACTGCAATCTAAGAGTATACTAATATGTAAAACCTAAGAATTTGGTCTTTGGTCATCTAAACGCGGGCGGAACCGCGGGCAATGCTTATTTTATTTATAAAATTAGACATATTATTCCTATTTAAAACACTTACAGCACAATTACATATCTAAATTTTGTAAGATAATTGCTATGGACTGATATGAAACGATTGAATACGGTCGACACAAAAATTTACAAAATTATTAGGTATACCTATATTATCGTCATACATTAAAAATAGTGGACTAATTATTATTATATGTATTTCTAAAAGAGATATTAAAGTGACCTTGCTATATAATAACAGTAGATACAAGTTAATACAAAAGCTAATCGATACGTCGTCCATTTCTAATCAAGGGTTATTTTATCCCATAGCTGTACTTCCTCATGAGCAATAGAAGGTAAAAGGTTGCCACTAGAGAATGAACGAAGAAATTGTGTCAAGTACAACATGTGAAGGGCAGCTTGTTAGTTATAGATTTATTAGATACGTGTCTTACGATAAAATGATTTTTATAAGAAAGATGAAACGAACCGAGATAGACTGCCTTAAAGCAGATATTATTAAGAAGTAAAACGAAAATTATATTGTACATATGGAAATATTTCTTTTATACATTTGTTATTTTTTAATGAACATTTACAATTACGACATAATATACAGTTGAATTTGTGTATGTTCGGACTAACGTCAGAAACTACTGTACATGTACGGTCGCCGCCAATTTTCACCAATAAACAAGTTTAGGATAGGCTATAATTTATAAATATTTTGCAAAAATAATTTACGTATGACAGTATTGTAATTAAATCGGACTCGTCTCTTCCAGGGGCGAGTAGAGCGAGTGTAGGCCACTTGCATCTTTATACTTGCGAATCCCAATTTGGAGAATAACTTTTTCGGAGACGGAAACACTAAAGTATTTCCGTTTCCGAAAAAAGTTGTTAATTACATAATTATCACTTACTACTGGCAATTAACTTTATGGTATCCCAAATACCGGAAGAACGAACAAATTAAGCGAATAAGTGAAAAATATCATACTATGTACAAGTTGCCCGTTAGATATCACAGAATTAATAAAATTATTTCCTTTCTTATTATTTAACATTAAGTTTACTACATAAATGTACCGATATATTGAACTATAAAATGAAAAAAATATGTATATACAATATCATAATATGTAAAAACACACATTATACAAATTAAATTTTCATAGAAAACATATAAATATACATATATTCAAGAAAAAATATAGTAGGTATAAGTTAAGTTATTAAGTATTAAGAGATTATCCAAGATTAAAAGTCGATACAAGCCGCCTTCGTTAGCCACCCACGTGTATTGATTCTTCGTCTCAGGCCAATGCGATGAAATAAAATATGATGTATTTTTCCACTACTTACTTAATAAATGGGTTTGATTTTTATTCTCTGATGACTAATATAACATTTTAAAAACTTATGTCTGTGCATCCTGCATGCTGTGTTTATTTGTAAGTAGTCACTACATTTAGTTTCTAGTTCTTAGTTTTTATATTTATTTACGTGTATTGTTGTAAGTGATTGTAAACAAACCTATTAAATAGATAAATATATACGTAGGTACACTAAAAATATTGTCGATTACGATAGGTCTTTCTAGAAACTACAAATTCAAACTATAGTATATTTTTATACAAAATCTATCTATTGACAGTCATTACTCACCGAGGCATTTGCACCGTTTATCCCATTTTCGACGAGAATGTCCTCAAACAATATATCAGCTTCGCAAGGAGAACAAAGATTACTGAGCAATTCACTGAATCTTTCTACTTTACGAACACACACGGCACCTAATAACCCCACTTCGCTTTTCACTAATTTTGGCACTACACCATTTTCATTTTTCACTTTATCAACTTTATTAATAGCTACGGATTCTTTAATAGGAATGTATGAATTACTGTGACTACTTTTAAGCTCATTTTCTAGTTTATTATCTCCCCTCAAAACATCCACTTGTATCTCGTTACTTTTATCTTCAATCAAGTCGTTGTATATGTCTTCAAATCTGTCCTTTTCCAAACTATTGGAAAGATTTTTATCGCTAAGGATATCATTCAAAATGTCATCAACATTAATACTCTTATCTTCGTCATTTACACTACTTATTTTAGAATCATCAGTCAAAGATATCCTTTTCTGTTTCTCGTCTAACTTTAAAAAATTCTTTTCGTCAACAATTTTTCCTTTTGGACTACTAACTAAAAAATTACTTTTGTCTTTTTCTAAAATATTTTTATTACTGGAATGTTTAAGTTTTGATCTAATAGCACCATTTTCTTTCTCTAAGAAGCTTGTGGTCGCAATTTTCAAGTTTTCTTTTTCGTGACTCTGTCTTCTATTGGAATTTATTCGCGTTTTATCTCTATCAACTATTTTGGCAGTTTTAGGTGATTTATTTTTTTCTTCTTCTAATAGAGATAGTACGGAAGAACTCCGGTTGGATTTTTTTGGCGACTGGCAAGAGTCAGAGTTGTTGGCAGCGGCGGCTCTTAGACGTGACGTTCGCGTTGTTCTAATAGGCACTGAAGTTGAGGCTGTATTCAAATTTAATTCGGAGGAAGACTTAAGATTTGTAACTGTATCTTCTAATGGAGATCGACCAGCTCCTTTTCTTGGACGTCTGAAATGAGAAATAATAAACAATAAGCCATATGAATCTCAAACTTTATCATAATAGCTAAGAAATATGTATATCTCAATGAAATATGTGTAAGAGTAGTCGATATTAAAACTCACCTTTCAGTCACATTAGCAGAAAATAAAGTGGCTGTTCTAGCTGTCAGCTGTTTCCTGCGCTCTTCCTTATATTTCTGTATCCTGGCCGCTCGGGCCTCGTCTGCGGACTGGCTCATGTTGTCCCCCAAGTTCAGATGGTGTCACAAACAATTTATGTCTTCCCTGAATACTTTTGCGTTCTTTAATCTAGTGTGAACTTTGTCTAGCATTGCGACATTAAGCAAGTAGGGCGGAATCGTTGGCAGTGATTTATACAGGCTAAGGCTCGAGGTAGGCTTTAAAGGCTCTTGCGGTATCTGAAATTCAAAATAACGTAGATTAAATTAAAAAAAAAAACAATATTCCAAGAGTATTTTTAATACGCTATTTATTTTCCAAAGTACATTTATGATTGCGAGATTATCTTTACTAAATAAATAGGGCAACATTTCCATTATAGCCAAGTGGACCGCACGTGTGAAATAAGATCTGGTGTGACATCAGTGTGTGCAATACGAGAGCTAGCAGTCGCAAAATCACGGAATAAAACAATGCTGTTTTGCTTATCAAAGCGCGGATTGCGTTTCAAGGTACATCGGCTTTTGTTCCATTGTTATGGTTCTCCTGTAAAGTATGGGAATGACTGTGTTACGCACTACTGTTAGGTGATGTGTCACTATTAGGAAATGGTTCGCTTTGTTCTACTTTAATTTAAGAGCTTCCTCAATTTACTTTTTGTTCTATTATTTTTTATTCAATAAAGTAATTTACATTTATAAACAACGGTGAATGTTCGTATGTCTGTCGTGTGTATATGTGTCTATACGTTAGTAAGCCATTGATTCAATTATGATGAAACTCTAGCGGGTTTTTATTCTGTATACGCCTGCGAAGGTTCCTGGCGCAAAAAAATCTTTGTACGTTAGTCTTATATGCATTCTTAAACCACTCATGATCAGAGGCACCCAAAGAAAGCTAGGGTAAGTCGTTAGTAATTATGAGAAATAATGATTGGAATAAATAAGATAGATTTCTAAGATAAATAACAAATCCACTTCACAAATTCTTTTTGTAATTGGATACAATTTCATTCTACTTTGTTGTTTGTACGGTAAAGCCCGCCTGTAATTACATGATGCGAAGTGAGCAAACTACGGGACATGGTCTATTATTGGAAGGAAAGAAGCAACAATAAATGAATTTTATTATCCGTTGATTAAATTTACTCAATATTTGTATATAATATAGATTTTCTAAAGCATTAATTTAGCTAAAAGCCTTATTTTCCTGCAAAATAAACGCAAGTACATAAAAAAATATTATACTTTATTTTGAATTCCATAACTAGTATTATTTAATGATGCGGTTATAACTTGTAGCTATGTAGGTTGCACGCTTTTACTCACGTAAGTAGATGCAGACGTAAAAGGAAAATGCTTATTAAACAAGGAGTAATCGCATTAATGGCTCATCATATTCATAGCGAACCGTAAATAACATTGGCATTGAGTAACTAGACGTAAAAAGTGCTTACATTCACATTATTAAATTTATATATATATATATATATATATATATATATATATATATATATATATATATATATATAAAACAATAAATACTTTTATATATTACAGGAAGTTCAAAGAATTGTAAATTGTAAAACCTTCAAAGTAATAGCTTAATAACTTCATACGCTTACGAGATTTTTACTGGTTTACGACACTATAAATGCTCTTTTAAAAGGTTTTCCGTAAAACTAAGGACCCTTTTGCTCACTACAACGATTGCGTAAAATGCACTTATCTGACTTTTAAAATTAATTCAAAAATAACACGTACAGTACCGGTATATTACTGATTAAAACCAATTACGATTACATAGTGATTAACGAATTGAAAAAAATATATATAATACATACTCGTATATAAGCACGTCATTTTAAAATATAAATACAAACTTCTTTCACAACAGCCAGCCCAGTTATGCCAAAATGTAGGGCACAAAAAATTATAATACGATGTTTATCATGTCATATATAGGCCAAATTAATAAAACGAGGCAACAAATTACACTGACCGAGACGAATCTTTAAGAGATAAATCTGCAAATGCGTATACATCAAGTGATAAATGCATCGTGCAGATAACTTTAATCATTGAACGTGTATTACTAAGATAACCTCGTTACACAGATCAATAATGTAATCATAGAAACAATATGAAGCACGATATAGGTCATACACGTTTTATATGACTCGTCGGTTAAGTATATATAAATTACAAAAGCACATCATCCGGTGTTCAAAGTATTTTAAGTGTTATAATACTTTCTTAGATTTACGCGAATGTTTGACATTATTAAATAAATCTCAGTCTCTCCCGTACCATGGATGCTGTAAAGCATTCGAAACGTCGGGAACCAAAAATCAAAATAAATCCGCGAAATAATCCGGAAAGATAGTTTTATTTTAAGTGTTACTTAACAAAATAACTGACTGTATAAATTTAAAAATAAATATTTATTTTTAGTCATATTTATTAACACTAAAAAATAACTAAAATGAAACTGTATGCAGCTTAGTTTCACCATATGTTGTTTAAATTTTGCTAGTTGAAATATTAATCTATATGTATGTATTCGGCTCTTTTTAACGTCTTACTGCTTGGCACGGAACTCCCTTCAATACGAGAGGGATCAGGCCATAGTCCACCACGCTGGCCAAGTGCGGGTTGGCGGACTTCAGATGTCTTTCGAGAACTTGCTAGGTTCTCTCAGACTTGCAGGTTTCCTCGCGATGTTTTCCTTCACCGTAAGACATGTCGTAATCATGTTAGAAATGATTCGCTCATGAAAATTTCCAGTACTATTATATATATACAGGCGGGGGAAACCCTTACAATACTAGATAAATAGGGCTAAATAGGCCACCAGTAGGGTCACCCTTGACTCTATCAGAGATTTTAGAGTCATCTACCAATATAAAGGTGTTTTAGATAGTATCCATAATACTTAACGAAAGACGTATAAATACTCAATATTAAAATATACTTAAAAACGCAGAAGGCGGGTCGCTTGTTCAATGAATATTTCGATAAGACCTCAGTGTGTTTCACAACAATCGATTCGTGTTTATGTATAGTATTATGCCTGCAGATATCTAATCGCAATCTTCTGATTGAATCCGCAGTTTTTATCGACTTGTTACTCTCTCACACTCTAATTCACACGAAGACGAGTGATTTTTTTTGCTTTGAACTTCTTATCTATGTTATTTTATCATTTCTTTTTCTATCTGATTTTTATTTCGTATTTTTTTCTAGAGTTTTTCGTGTAGGTAATAAAAAATGTTAATGCCCGTCATGGCACAGTGGATGTGGCAGACTATAGCTCTATACACGACGTATGGAATTTATAAAACAGACCATAAATCCTTTCCAATTTTTCATCTGTCTAATAAAAAAATATGACCTTGAGAACAGAACCTAATCAAAGCTTCTATAAGTCATTCGTTTAAGATAAAAAGTAAAAGTTTAGTTCTTAATATATTAAATTCCTAGCAGGAAAATTAGTAATATATAGTTTGTTAATATACCACGAAAAAAAAGTACATGGAAAAATTCATAATATAACCTTAAAATAAAATAATTTTTTTTTGGCAACAAACTAGGAATCAATTTCCATTATCCTTTCTTAGATTTACGCGAATATTTGACATTTTAAGTAAAACTATCTTTCGGATTATTTCGCGAATCTATTTTGATTTTTGGTTCCCGACGTTTCGAATGCTTTACAGCAATATTTTTTTTATTTTTATTTAAAATGTCAATTTCCATTATTTATTCTCAATTCAGTTTAGAATTTAAGTGCATAAGCATAAAATCGTTTACTATACATACAATTAGTGTCGAAAGCGCTACAACTATGCATTTAAGCACAAGTGAGCATGGATCCGCATACCAACGGTCATTGAACGCAAAGCCAATCTTGCGAGATTAATAGCGCAGAAAATAAAAGTTTAAATTTCGAGATAGAATAATTAAACCTACCCAGAAAATAACTATTATCAGAAACCAGAAATGAAATAAATTAAATGTTTTTATATGTAGAGTAAATGGATTTATTTTATTAGAACTTTTCTTTAAAATATTCTTATATAAATTTTTCACAAAGGATAGATTTTTACAAAGAAGGTTAAAAAACACTTATAAGGCATTCTTCAAAGCGGCAAACGAACCATGGTATTTTTTGCATTAAGACAGTTTATAGGCTGGTGTCTGATAAGTCCTTCAATAGGACTCTAATAGTTAAGTTCTCTCCCGTTCCATGATTGCTGTAAAGCATTCGAAACGTCAGGAACCAAAAATCAAAATAAATTTGCGAAAAAATCCGAAAAGATAGTTTTATTTAAAAAGTTAAGTTCTTTTTTAATTGAGTATAATAAACTAAGTATTAAATAACTATTTGATGTAGTTCGAAATAAACGACAATGGCCACAGGCGAAAATCGAGAGCGTTAGTTTATAGATTCGTTATCAACGTTGTTATCATCTCAGCAAATGTAGACTAAAAGCACGATAATGTTGTAACATTACCGTGCTAAAAGTATGTATATGTTCCACTAAACTGTTTCCTTTTACTTTTGCCCAAAAACCTTTATTTTGTTTCTTATTATATTAGATTTTATACCAAAGTTTTCATTTAGCATGATGTTTTTTCTTTGATATTTATTACACTAATATTATTAATGCGAAAGTTTCCTTGTTTACTAAAAAGCGCAAAGAAGTTATTTCTTGTCATCGAAACGGTTCAATAGATTTGAGATAATTTTGTAACGACGACATCTAAAACCTAGATTAACATACAATTTACAAACTTCATAGAAGTTCCATCAGAGCTAAAACCAGTAATGATATATTTTAAGTACTAGTTTGCATTCAACATTCCACATAGTTGAATACAATAAAACGATTGCACTTTTAATACATGAACACGAGTAAAATTTGTTGGTCGTCAATCATATATTAGACATTGATGTACAGACAATAATAAATCGATGGTTATGAAACCTACTCGCAGAGTTCGCTGCATAAATCATTATTCACACCGCATCCCGCTCCGGGAGCGATACAGAAATA